ATGTGCCCCTACAAACGAGTCATTACTCGCCTCTAGCCATCATGTAAAACATATTCATATGTACATACATACATATATTTATGTATGTTTGTACTCGTACATGCACTACACATTACCTGAGCAGTGGAACCATTTTATTTATAATAAATGGTTAATGAAATACACTTGAATATTATGGTGATTTCGTTTCTACCAAAAAATGTTGCCCTTTCCCGTTGCAAAATGTGTTTCAGGTTACACTCAACACTGTAAAAGGGCATGTTTTTGCCTTCTTGTCCTTTTCTACCTCACGCATTTCATAATATTGTCGTCTGATTTTCAGGGCAACCATTTTCCCTGCCAAAGCTTCGAAGGGCAAAGAACGTGCCTTTTTTGTCTTAAAAAGAAAAGAGAGATAGGCAATCGAAAGGCGACACCTTTAAACGCACATAATATGTACATACATACATACGTATGGGCAAATCTCCGAAACCGTGTGCTTTTGTGCTGCTCATCTTTAAATGTATAATTATTAATAATTTAATATAAATATATATATATATATGTATATATATATATATATATATGTATGTTACCGCATAACTTTGGACCACGTTAACCGATTTCTATAATTCCCTTTTTAAAGGAAATGTGTTACCTCACAGGTCCAATTCTTATTTGGTTTAAATCCGCGCGCTCTTTCCAATTTGCCGAGCAGTTATTAAAGACGACGCTTTCCCTATATTTTGTTAGACTTTTCATAAGTAAAAATATTTGTTTAATTCTATTTTTCTTTTTCTTTCTATAAGCCCACTTATGGTTACATGTGTATATCTTGGTAACCGCTGCACCAATTTCTTTCAAACTTGGCACAGTTGTTGGTTGGCCTTGGTATAGCATACGAAATGGCCGACAATTTTTTAAATCGGACAATAACCACGCCCACATCCTATATAACGGTAATTTAGAGAAATACAAAATCTTCGATAAAGCATTAAATATCAAATTTATTCAAAATTGGTGCTTGAAAACAATTTTTTACCAAGAAATACGTCTATGATAAAATTTTGGAAAATGGGCGTGGCACCGCCGGACTAAAATTATGGCCGCTTTTCATATAAGAGTAAATTTCAAAAATGCTTGAAACTTCAATATTTTTCAATTTAAGGACGCTAATTTACTCAAAATTGATACACCCCGGCTTGCCATATAGCGGTAGCTTTCAGAAAGGTGAAAAATATATATTTAATACTTGCGCCGTTTATTTAATATTCGGCTCCGCCCGAACTTAAACTTTCTTACTTGTTTTATTTAATTTGTTTCAGTTCATATTTCCATTTGAATACGTTGGAATGCACCTCGATTGAAGACTAGCATGGAAAACGGACAAATGTATTTACAAAACGCCAGGCACTCGGACTAAAACTCAGAAACTTATATTGGCTTATAAATCGGCACTCTCAATTATCACTTGAAAACAGGGTACTACTCTACTCAACAACCATAAAACCGATTTGAATCGGGTCTCGATACAAGTACTTTTTTTTCAAAATAATTTTATTCGAAGGAGCATTTTTTTAGGGCTGCTATAAGTTGAACTAATAGTTTATATCGTTGACTAAATTTTGCAAATAACATCTCTTGCAACCTCACAAGTACCACTCTCACTGTTGTATAGCTCATCTAGGGGACAGGTGGTATAAGCTACGGTGCCATCTTCTAAGCAAACATAAAAGGAACGACAAAGATCGCCTATGTTCGCATAGCGTTGTCCTGGTACTGCCTTTTCACAAATCTGTAAATAGATTAAATTATTTAGTTAAAAAACTTTCCCGCAGCTATGCAAAGTAAAACAAAGCCTACATTCTCTTCAAAGCTCACTACTTCAGGTGCGCGCTTCACAGTTACTGCAGGCAAAGCGCATTCTGTAATGTCCTTTACACAACGTCCTATAGATGCATTGAAGAACAGGCCATCGGCACATTCATGCACCGTTGGTTTCCCATTCGCACATTGGAAATAAGATCGGCAGTTGTCGGCTGTATATGGATAAAGTGTAGTATCGCTGAGACCTGAGCACGACTGAAAGAAATCCCGAAAATAGAAAAACGTTAATATTTACATAACATACCTTCCTTACATGTGAGCAAATAAGTATGTAACTTTGAATGGCACTAAATTTTAGTGCAATCTTACCATAATTTGCGATTCGGTTGACTGTACCGCGACTGTACCGCACTGATTATTCACATCCTCGGCACATGTGGAGAGCATCTTATCGAAGTACTCTTTTTCTTCACATTTTTTGGCAATCTTCTGACCATTGATGCAGACAAAGTAGCCACGGCAGCTGTCGGCGTCACGCACCAATTGCCCATGACGACCGTTGCATTCGCCTACACGTTGTCCATTCTCCAGCAAGCAAGTGCCATCATTTTGACGGCAAAAGCCCAGTAAGCTATCAAAGCTCTCTCCATTGCGACAGCGCTGAGACACTGGCTCGCCAGCGTCATTGCAATTAATATAGCGCCTGCAGTCGTCCTGCTCAGCAATGGAAGTGCCTTGGGGTATTTGCGTGCATAACTGAGTATAGTTTGTGGGCTTATTACTGCAATGTAATGCATTCAGCATTACCTTCATTTGACTTGCTGCATCCGCATTTGTTGTATTTACAATATCCAGCTCATAGGGCTGGCATTGACGTAGCGAAGCATTGAAGTAAAAGTTGGTAAAACATCGCTCATGTCGCAGCTTTCCATTAATGCAAACGTAAAACTCATTACAGTTGGCCGGATCAGAGATCATGGAGCCATGCTTTCCTTCACAATCGGCGGGTTGTGGTGGTTCTGGCTGGTGATTCGATTGATTATTTTCCACATATGGACACGAACCATCGTCTGGCACGCAAAGCTCTTGCTCAAGGTCGAAGAACGCATCCTTTGGACAATTTTTCGTTAATGGCACACCGCCTAAACAGACATAATATTTAGTGCAATCTGCGGTATTAGGCAGATGAATGCCATCCGCAAGGTTGCCACAGATGTGGTTTGTTGTGACATTTTTGGAAGCTTCCGCCAGTGTGCCATTTTCACACTGGTGCATTTCATCCAACACACAGCTTCCAAGAGCCGCACTAAACTGTTGCCCCGCAGGGCACGCCACTGGAATGGCCAACCCTCTTACGCAGGCATAATATAAATTGCAGTAACGTTCATGAGGCAAACGTTTTCCATGCTCTGCTCCGGCACATTTTCTAAGCTCTTCTGATCTGAACCGGCACTGACCGCGGTCTATCTGACACTGACTCGTGACATTGTGATAATACTCTCCTTCGGCACATTTTAACCGCTCGGTGCCATTCAGAGTAGAACAGTGGTAGTAGGCTTGGCAATCTTCCGGATCCGCTACATATCCTCCATCGGTAGCACTCGCACATACGCCACTTAGAGGCACCACACAGTTACCGTCGTTCGGGCGACAGTAGCCAAGTCTATCATCGAAAAAGCTTCCACGCACACACTTCTGTTCATTTTCCGCCAACTCTGAGATACAAATAAAAAAATGTAGGCAACTATATGGATGCGGCACAGCACTTCCATCTGCTCGACCAAGACAGAGGGCGCTGCGGTTGCTTTCAATTTGCTTTTGACCATTTAAATATGCACTCGTTGTAATATTTTCACTTCCTTCTACAGATAGCGGTTGACATTTGTCATATGCATCGTGTGGCGCACACTCTCTTGTGAGCTTTATAAAGGTATGACCTTTCAAGCAAGTGCCCTCATACCAGCTGTCTTTCAGACAGTAATAAAATTGAGTACAATTCTCAGGTAAAGGATGCGCCTTTGTCTCTCCAACGCCACATACTTTGCGAAGACCATTCTCAGCGCAGCTTCCGTCGTTGGGTATACACATACGTAATGTGTTATCAAAAATCCATGACTGATTGCAACTCGCTCGGATCCATTTGCCGCGCATACAAATCTCATAGGCTGTGCAGTTGAGTGGAAAGTCGCGTTTCTCACCCTCGTCGCATTGAGCTTTATGAAATTGTGCACAGAAACCTTCTTTATCGGATAGGCACGCCCTCTCAGTGGCATTGAAATATTGATGAGTTCCACAATTTCTCAATTCCCAATAGCCTGCTTGGCACTCAAAGTATCGATCGCAAGATAGAGCTGAAGGACGAACTGCACCTTTGTGGTCGCAAGGCTGCATGGAAGGTTTATCTTGTATACTCGTATCGAACGAAGTAGCGCACTGTCCTTTTATATTGGGCATACAATAGTTGTATGTGTGGTTGTAGTACATGCCAAGCGGACAGTACTGGTGCCACCATTTGCCTTCCATACACATAAGATACATCGCGCAGTTTTGCTCATAGCGACGCACTTCCATGTGTCGGCACTTAGAGGAAGTCATATTTGAATTAGGTTCCATATCATCATCGATCCCAGTTGCATTTCGCGCCACACAGGCATCGTCATGTGGACTTGGAATGCATGTTTTCAAGCGTTTAGAATAGAAATAGTGCTTGGGACAGGTTTTCAAACGCCACTTTCCATGGTTGCAGCGATAGTATTGGCCACAATTTGGCTCCTTTACAGGCACCGTGCGTTGCTCCATTGATGCACTACAGATAGGTAGGTTTTTGACACGGGCATAGGCGCAAACGGTGTCATCACGCGGCTCCATGCATTTGCGTTGCTCGGGATTGTAGTAACGTTCGCTCGCGCAGCTTAGCCGAGTCCAAGCGCCGTCAATACATATTTCATACTGGGAACAGTTGGAGGGAACTGACTGTTTTTCGTTATCCATACACAATTTCTACAAAATATAGATACAGGAAATAAATGCATAGGTGCCTTTCACCTGTTAAATCGTCATTTATGGCTTGCCTCTGAAAAAAACACAGTTTTAGTCTTGCTGGACATAAAAATACCTACAAGTATCCGAAAAGTAGTAATTTATTTAGAGAAAAGGTTAGGTAATCTAGCCGCGTAAGCCAAATAACGGACCATTAATTCGTGGTATGTATACACGTTTCCATATGCCGTCTACGCACTCCACTTGCACTTGAAAGTGTTCACGATCTAACTTTTTTCGTTAATTTGATTAAACAATTTAGAATAAAAATGCCGAATTTGATTTTTGTCACTTTTATTACATAGTACATGGTTTTCTGTGCATGTGCATTTGAATATCTTATTCGTTAAAAAGTATAAATAGTTTTATGAATTGTCATGATTGTCAAACAAGCGGATTTTCTAATCTACGTACATACGCATGTATATTAAATTAAATTATGTAGCATTGGCTCTAAACAAAAGGTACCGATTCCCAATATATTTTAAAGCAGTAAATAAGTTTTAAAGAGACAAGCCTTGACAAATTCAGGATTGAGTAAGTTTTTTAAAGAAATTTTTAAAAATCTTAAAAGATCTTACATCATCCTCTGGAAGAACTTTTGAGCGCATCATGTGTCCAATTGTGTGCGTCCGTTTTTTGTCCACCGGCTGACAAGAAAGACTAACTTGATCGAATGAATTTCCTGCACCACAATCGTGTTCTTGAAGCCGACCTGAGCTGCAGACATAGTACAGTCGGCAGTTTGTTGGGTTTGCTACTAATTGTCCTTCTTTGTAACCTCCTGGACAAGTACAATTGCCTTCAGGTCCTGGTGTAGATGTAACCGCTCCATTCACATCACAAATTCCGAGTTCGGGATCAAACAAGGCATCGTCTGGGCAGGAGAAGAACTCAATTTCAGTTGCTGAGAAACAGTAGCAAAAACCGTGCGAGTCATTATTGGCTGCAACGGGATATGTGTTTTCTGAGGTTGCATTAGCACATTTGGATATATCGCATTGCAGCTGAAAGGGATTTATGAAAACACATATATGTATATACACATGTATGTAAGTATGTTTGTAAATACTAGTATAAGCCATAAGTTTGGTGTTATTGTACAAAATTAGAGCTTACAGTGGTCGAAGATATGCATATCGCAGTAGTTGGATCGAATACAGCACCACTTGGGCAAGCATGTACTTCCGGCACGCCATTTACGCATATGCAAAATCCTTGCGGATAGTTGTTGGCTGGATAAGCGACGCCATCATTGGTAGCATTAGCACAGACGCTCGAGTCACAAGGATCCTATGAACAGTGGATAAAGTAGAAACTCATTCCAAGGATAGTTTTTCAAATTATATTTAATCGTTACCTCTATACATATTAGTAAACTGGGATTGAAGCGAGTTCCATTTTCACAATTGTATTTGGTTACGGAACTCGGATCTGTGCTTGTGCAAATGCAAAATGAGTATGGTTCATTTAATGCTGGAAAAGGTCCGGAAGGATTCGTCAGGCACACTTGGCCGTCGCATCCCAGCTGAAGGAAATTTTAAATGAGAATTGAGTAAATTATAGAACTAAGTTATGTGCATATTTACTTACCGCCTGACATATTAGCAAAGTATCGTTAAATATCTCCGAGTTAGGGCAGCTCTTCTTAGTGGCTACACCATCTTGTTCGCAATAGCAGAATGCGTTTGGATCACCCGTAGCACCAAAAATCAAACCAACATTGTCTACACAAAGTGAATCACTGCAAGCCTCCTCGCTAGTTGGCAGACATATACCCCTATCCACGTCAAATTTGCTACCATCTTCACAGGGCTTATATTCGGCACCCGAAGCAAGGCATATGCAGAAGCCGTCGGTATCATTGTCCAAAGCTGGGAAAATGGTATTCTCGTCCGCCGTGAGGCAGAAAGTAGAAGAACATTTTTCCTGCACAACAAACAAAATATGGGAATGGATTAAGTGGTTACGATTACAGCAAATGTATACGTTTTAAACTTACATCATGCGTTTGGCATAATTGAGAAACTGGATTATAGGTTTGGTTGTTGGGACAGTCAACTATCACTTGCTGCTTGCTCACACACAGACAGAAACTATGTGTGTCATTGCGGTTGGGAGAGCGGGTGTTCTCTGGGTAAACGTCACATAGCTCTGGGTCGCAAGGCGCATTCTTAAAAAGAAACATGTATTACAAAATAATACAATGATATGATTGATACCCATTGCATTTGGCCCCCTTACCGAGTAGCATATTCCCAGGTCCGCTCGGAAGGTGTAGTTGTCTGAGCAGTGGTATAAGTATGCTGCACCATCACGACACAAACAGAATGCGGTGTCATCGGTATCTGTTGTCGGCGCAAACGCATCATATTCAGAGCTAGCAGAACTGCATTTGGACTGATCACAATTTGACTGTGGGGCACAACGCAATGGACAGAAATTAGCAAACGATGATAAGTATTGGTGTGGAATCGCATTGACTTACGCTTGGTTGCTCTAAGCAGACTCCTAAAGAAGCTTGGTAAACAGTTCCAGCACTACATTCGTTTATTTGTGCCACACCTCCAAGGCACACATAGAATTTAGTGTCATTTCCTACCACAGGGAATGTACTTCCGTCATCTTTATCCACGCACAATGTAGCTTCACAAACTGCATCTTCATGACATTTGCCCAGTGTTATGTCGAACCCACCCACCGTACACGTTTCCACATAAGGCTTACCATCATTACAAAGGAAGTACTTAGTACAATCGGGATTTGGTAGGAACGTAATGCCTGTGGTATCTTTGCAGGGATTTATGCAGGTCGCATTGTAATCTGGCACGCAAATTCCTTGAAGCGGATTAAACCATTTTTCATCAGGACATTCGTATACTTCTCCTTTACCACCTTCACAAAGGTAAAAAGATGTACAATTGGTCGAGTCTGCTACAGCTGTGCTATCCGGTTGATCCTTGCATACGTTGGGCCAGCAGGTATTGTCAGTGTCGGGTTCACAAACCCCGAGGCTACTATTAAAAAGGTTGCCACTTCCACAATCACGTTCTTGAAGCCTGCCTCCAGTGCATATATAATACTTGTCACAATTATCAGGGTAAGGGAGCAATTGACCTTCGTTATAGCCGCCGGGGCAAGTGCAATTAGTTTCAGCTGGCCAACAAACGTGGTCAGTATCCGGAATACAAGCGCCAGTACTATTATCAAAACGATTGCCATTGCCACAATCGCTTTCTTGGAGCTTACCGTCGGTACATCTATAATATTTATCGCAGTTTTCGGGGTAATTAGGGAATGGCAGTAATTGTCCTTCCTTGTATCCGCCCGGGCATGTGCACTCTGTGCCATCATTACTAGCTGCTTTGCCATCAACGACGGCACTTTTACTGTCCAAATTAAAGTTTGAGATGCAACTTTGTTCGGTGTCAATGTTGCATGTTAGTGTTCTTGGTTCAAAGTAGTTGCCAAAGCCACAATCCCTTAAAATCATTTCACCGCTGACACAAATTAGATACTGCCGACAATCCTTGGGATGGCTGACTATTTTTCCTTCAGCGTACAAACCTAAACATTTTAAATTATCCAATGCCCGATTTTCGGATTTTTCAACGGTGTTTTCACTGTTTTCATCAATAATAGAAACCTCGTTGTTATTATTGACAAAACTCTCATCGGATTTTTGGGGGGTTTCACCTAAAACTCCTACTTCACTGTTAGATCTCAAATCAGATTCCTCGTCTGCGACATCTTCGTCTACACTCCGTTTGCTTCGCTGGCCGTCAGTTTGATCATTGGAATCAGCTGGCCAGCAGCCATGTTCTGTATCGGGCTCACACGCCTTCAGGGTGCTATCGAAGCGATTACCTACACCGCATTCTCTTTCCTGGAGCTTGCCGTCAAAGCATACGTAGTATTTATCACAACTCTCAGGATAGGGTAATAATTCCCCTTCCTCGTAACCACCAGGACAAGTGCGACCAATATCATTCGCAGGTTCTGTAATTTGAGCACATTCAGTGGTAGTTGTTGCGATTTCAGGGCATGCAGTAGTAGTTGTTGTAACTTCAGGGCATACAGTTGTAGTTGTAACTTCAGGGCATGCAGTAGTAGTTGTTGTAACTTCAGGACATGCAGTAGTAGTTGTTGTAACTTCCGGACATGCAGTANGTTGTAACTTCAGGACATGCAGTAGTAGTTGTTGTAACTTCCGGACATGCAGTAGTAGTTGTTGTAACTTCCGGGCATGCAGTGGTAGTTGTTGTAACTTCTGGGCATACAGTGGTAGTTGTTGTAACTTCCGGACATGCAGTAGTAGTTGTGACTTGTGGACATTCAGTGGTAGTTGTAGTGGCTTCGGTGCATTCTGTTGATGAAGAAGATTCCGTGCTTTCTTCGGTACACTCAGTCGACGAGATTGTGGTTTCTGTGGTTGGGAACTCTGTTGTGGTTTCATCTGATGGACACTCTCCAGGTATACATGCATCCACAGACCAATCGAAATAGCTACCTTTCGGACAGTCCTGCTTAACAGGTTTATCGGCAGAGCACACATAATAACTGTGGCAATCATTTACGTCCTTGACAAATTCGCCATCCTTTTTTCCAACGCACAAATTCTCCCAACATTGCTCGCCAGTTGGATCTGGTTCGCATGCACTACTGGAACTATTGAAATAACTGCTGCTGCCACAATCTTGTGCAGTCGCCTCTCCGCCAGAGCAAACATAGAAAGAAATGCATGAAGAAGCATCCGGCAAATAAGTACCATCGGTTTTATTAATGCACTTATTTTGCCAGCACTCGGACTCAGTGTCAGGTATGCAA